GTAGTGGTTTCCAGAGGCTACAGGGAATGGGGAATGGGGGCCAAAGGGTAAAGGGATAACAAGTTTGTTTCTTTCTTTCTGTTTTTTTGAGACAGGGTCTTACTGTATTGCCCAGGCTGGAGTACAGTGGCACAATTTTGGCTCAATGCAGCCTTGACCTCCCAGGCATCCAACTCCTAGCCTCAAGTGATCCACCCACCTCAGCCTCCCAAAGTGCTGGGATAATAGGGTGAGTGACTGTGCCTGGCCAAGGTGTTTCTTTTTGGTATGGTAAGAATATTTTGGAATTAGATGGTGGTAATGGAATGGTTGTACAACAGTGTCAATATACTAAAAAGCACTAAATTGTATACTTTGAAATGGTTAAGCTGAAATGGTAAATTTCAAGTTGCCTTTCTGGGACGCAGACTTACCTATCTCTGCCCTTGTGACACTACCTTATCATCATAAATTTCCATTTAAGCCAGGACCAAGTGGTTTTGGTTGCTTGTAATTTAAGGGTCTAAACTGTCACGAAAACTGACTCAAAGATATCAGACTTGCTAGACCAGACTCTGAACCCTCCGAAATCACACATGTGAGATGACTAAGTCACTGAGGGAATCGAAGCAGGGCAGTGCCTGCACCTCCCCCGGTGGGGTCACCTCTCACGGGCTACAGCTTGATTCTCTAGGGTGTGCCCACCCGTCCCGACTTTGCACTGGAACCTCCACCCGGACACAGCTTCCAATGTTCAGCAAAAGTTTCGTGCACCCAACCTTCTCATTCGCTCCCTGAAAAAAATCATCTTTCAACCTTTGAGAGGAATATTATGCAGCCATCAAAAACGATGAGTTCGTATCCTTTGCAGGGACATGGATGAACCTGGAAACCATCATTCTCAGCAAACTGACATAAGAGCAGAAAATCAAACACCGCATGTTCTCACTCATAGGCGGGTGTTGAACAATGAGAACACATGGACACAGGGAGGGGAGCACTACCACTGGGGTCTGTTGGGGGGAAATGGGGGAGGGACGGGGGGTGGGGAGGTGGGAAGAGATAGCATGGGTAGAAATGACAGATACCGGTGAGGGTAAGGAAGGCAGCAAACCACACTGCCATGTGTGTACCTATGCAACAATCTTGCATGTTCTTCACATGTACCCCAAAACCTAAAATGCAATAAAAAAATAAAATAAAAATAAAACAAACAAACAAAAAACAAAAGAGACTAGGTCAACTCACATCAGTATTTTGACTTTTAATTCAACATCTTCATATCAAACAGTATCTTACAAATGCCACTGAAATGAAGTAGCTGAATGCTGAAGCTTTGTGAAAAGACATCACCCAAAGGATCACCAACAACTTCAAAGGCCAAGTGCTTTGTCAGAATCACAAAGCACCCAGCCACTTAAAATAAGAACTCTTTCAACACCAACTTGAAATAATCATCCTGACATAAAGCTTCCCATATGCCACTGCTGTATGAGTGCATAACTCAGTAAAATAAAACATGAATAGCAATGCAAAGAATTGTCTCCTGACAATTTCAGACAGAAAAGGAGGTCTTGAAGTGTTTATTTTTAAACAGTGATTTTAAAAGTGCAAAGTCAATCACTTTAGGCAAGAAAATATGTATCTTCTAGAATGAAACTGGCCTGGAATTTACAGATATTATTTTCTCACTTAGAAATGATCCATCATCCATCTATGCCTACAGCTTCAACTGCTTCCACTTAATTTCATCTTCTGACCACAGGAAAACTTTTGTTAGGTTAGAGGAAAGAAAAAGCAAAAATAAAATAAAGACAGAATTTTAGAAAAGATTAAAAATGTTGGTTCAGTAAAATTCAGAGAAAAACAGGAAATACTACGGACGGCCTGCTTCTTGTAAGGCCTAACGGCGTCATGCATCCTCCCCATTAGCAACCCCGTCAGAGCCGAACAGTGTTACAATCAATAAGCCTACACGACACACCGTTACCACCCAGTCTGCAGTTCACACTGGAGTCCACTCTTGTACATCCTATGAGTTGGAGCCAATGTGGAATGAGCTGTGCCCACCATCACAGCATCATGACACACGGTGGTTTCACCGTCCTACAGAAGTCAACAGTGTCCTAGAGAAGTCAACTATCAGAGAGCGAGACCCCCTGTCTGGGCTCTACCTGTTCCTCCCAGGCCCCGGCAATCACTCATCTTTTTAGGGCCTCCTGGGTTTTGCTTTCCCACAGTTACAAAGTTGGAATCACAGTGTGTAGCCTTTTCAGAGTGGCTTCTTTCACTTAGCAATAAGCATTTATGGTTCCTTCATGTTTTTTCATGGCTTGATAGTTCATTTCTTTTTGGGCCTGAATAATTTCCTGTTGTCTGGATGTATCACCATGTCCAGATTCATTCGCTTGCTCAAGGACATCTTCATTGCTTACAAGTGCTGGCAGTTATGAATAAAGCTGCTCTCAACAGCCAGGTGCAGTTTACTGATGTTTTCCGTTTATTTGGATAAATGTCAAGGCGCCTAACTGCTGGATCACACAGGTAAAGAGTATGTTTAGCTGTGGAAGAAACGCAGCGAGGAGAGCTCCCGTTCCACCAGCATCTGGTGCTGTCAGCGTGCTGGATTTTGTCCACTCTGGAAGGTGTGCGGTGCTGTCTCACTCTCTTAATTTGCATTTCCCTGGTGACATATGATGTGAAACATCTTTTCATATGATTACTTGCCATCTACATATTTTCCTTGGTGAGGTTCACATCTTTGGCCCATTTTCTTACTAAGTTTTAAGAATTCTTTGAACATTTTGAATAATAGTTCGTTGTCAAATATGTCTTTTGAAAATATTTCTCTAAGTCTGTGGCTTGTCTTTTTCTTCTCTTGACAAGTGTCTTTCACAGAGCAGGTTTTGTTAATGATGTCCCAGTTATCGACTGGGCATCTGCTGATGAATTCTTTTGCTCATTGATCAAGCCTTTGGTGTTGCATCTAAAAAGTCACTGCTGAACCCAAGGCCACCTAGACTGCCTCCCATGTTATCTTCTAGGAGTTTTATAGTTTTGCATTTAACACTTAGGTCTCAGATCCATTTTTAATAAGATATTTTTGTGACAGGTTTAAGGTCTGTGTCTCTCTTTTTATGCATGTGGATGTCCAGTTTGTCCCAGCACTACTGTTGTGCTGGGTGTTTTAAATTGCAAATTTTCCTTGATCTTTCCTGATATATAGGACAGCAGTTGACTTCTGTGTATTGACCTTGTAAAGCACAACCTATTATAAACCTTTATTAGTTCCAGAAGTCTTCTTTGTTGTTTCTTTCAGATTTTCATCACTGCTTTTTCTTTAAAAACTTTGTTAAGTTGATTGAAAAAGCAAGACTATTTCTAACAGGCACAATGGGTAGTATATTAGCTTTCTAGGGCTGCCACTACAGAGTCCCACAGACCGGGTGAATTAACAACAGACATTTGTTCTCTCACAGGCCTGAAGGCTGGAAGTCCAAGATCATGGTCTCAGCAGGGCTGGTTTCTGTCCTTGGCTTGCAGATGCTGCTTCCTCTGTTGTCACAGGGTCAAGCCTCTGTATGTACGTGTGTCCTGATCTCTTCTTCGAATGTGGACACCAGTGATACCGGATTAGGGCACACCCTGATGGCTTCATTTACCCTTAATCACCTTTAGGAGCCCATGCCCAAATACAATCGCATTCGGAAGTGCTGGGGGTTAGTTAGGGCTTCAACAAGAATTTGCTGGTGGCGGCTGTGGTGGGGGCAACCCAGCCTGCAACAGGTATATTCTTTAAAAGGTAAAACTACGCCCAACAGCAGTCATTTACTCCTTCAACAGAAGTTATCCTACTACACCAGGAGCTTGTATCATTTGAAACCATTAAGCATCTGGGAAAAAATGCAGAAAGGGAATGTGGAAAACATGGACTTGTCCCTTAGGAAGAGTGTGCCTGGCATAACCCCGTATCTAGAAGACGTGAAGGAAACATTCCTTCTCACTTGTCTTCTACGCTGGACCAGAATGGTGTCCATGGCACCCGTCACATCACAGGCCAGACAGGCTTCTGGGCTGGCCTGGAAATGGAATCGCCATGTGGAACATTACGTCTGAGGTAACGTGAGTTCACAGTGAACGGAGATCGGAGCTGTGGGGCTGGAAGCTGATCTGTGGGATGATGGGGGCTGCCTGCTGAGATCCCACTGGGGCTGTTGTAAGGTATGTGAAAATTGGAGACGGTGCCACTCTCAGGAACTCAACTGCCCAGTGAGAGACCACTGCTGAAGAGAGACGGAAGAGACCCGTGGAAATGCCACTCAGGACCTCATGTCTGGCTTTATGGACTTAGGTGTTTCCTGGGACCGGAATGGACCCTCCCGGCCTCTCTCAGGCTTTGTGGACTTAGGTGTTTACTGGGAAGTGAATGGACCCACCCACATGTGCCGCACCCAGGTGGTCTATTCCCGTCTCTCCGTGGGGGCCTCTCTCAGTCTCACAGGTGAGCGGAGCTGCACTGGGGGAGCCAGAGTTGAGGGGACTCTCATGGCGGATGATCCTGCGGCCACGAGAGCTTATGTGGGCTGTCACAGGACAGACGATGGCCTAAGACGATGGGCCAAGATATTAGAAGCCTGTCCCTGAGTGGGCACAAGGCAACGGGGCCAAGGAGGCCATACGGGGCCGCTACAGGCACGGGGGTCACGTGTCGTGGTGGGGGAGGTACCTGCTTTCCTCAGAGGACAGGAAAGCTGGGCTGAGCCCCAGTCACAGGCCAACTGCCATCTTCAGAGCACGTGAGTCAGTGGCCCCCCAAAGCAGCCCCTGACCTGGCCTTCCGGGGAGTCCACAGGGGCTTTGGTGGAGCTGGTGTGAGGAGTGGCATCTGCCCCCTCCTGCTGCAGACCCTCTGCAGACAGAAGCCCAAGGCCCAGAGGACACACTCTCCAGGGCGAGTGAGGGTGACGATGGGTGACTAACTTCCGTCCCTGAGACCCGTCCACAGCTGCAAACAACCTCACCTGTCAAAGGCTGAACAGGCTTCCGTCTCGCTTTCTCAGAGGTCACTTTCTTGGGCGGTGTTTGGATGGCCAGCGTCTGGGGTTCCTTCTTTTCTTGGCCACTTGGAACGTTAGGAAAAAGTCTTTGCAGCACCTTCTCAACAAACACTGTATGGACAACCGATTGTAAGAAAAAGCAGAAAATGAACCAGTTATGGCAGTTCATCTGGATCACACATGCCTTTTACTCCACACAAAACAAACGCGTGCTGAAAGCACTAACGCAGACCCCAGCCCCTGGTCCTCCCACTCTGGGTGTTGCACACCAGGATGCCCCACACTGGCCCTGGAGGAGCCCCCCATTCCGCCATCAGTGACCCTCTCCCCAGCGCATCACCCTGCATCCAGGATCCCCCCATGCTGACCCTGGAGGGCCCCCCCATTCCGCCATCAGTGACCCTCTCCCCTTTGTGTCACCCTGCGTCCAGGATGCCCCCATACTGGCCCTGGAGGACCCCCCCATTCCGCCATCAGTGACCTCTCCCCAGCGTGTCACCCTGTGTTCAGGTGGCTGTGCACTGCCAGCAGGTGCTTCCTCTGGCCCCGGGTCGCTCTGCTCCTCCCTGTGAGGTTCAGGTACACATGGACTGTGACCCCCTGTCAGTGGGGGCTGTGGTCCTGGGTGCCAGCAGAAATCAGAACCCCTGACACAAGTGCCTGAGGCCTCCAGGAGTAGGGAGATGGGGACCTGGCCCGATGGAGGCTGTGTAGGGATCTGTCACGGATCCCCTGAGGGAGACGCTGAGGGTGGCTTCCAGGTGGGCAGGAGTCTCCATGGCCCTACATGGCAACGCTGTAGCTGAAGGCACATGCCTTCCTACTTCTGGCCTCTCGGACTCACACCTGTTAGAAATCATCCTGTGAAGGCCCTGCTGTGAATAACACTACGAGGGTTTCCACCCAGGGCTCACCAGAACTCCCATGTCCTCCGTGGATGGACCAGGAAAGCCCACACAGAGCTCAGTGGCAGCAGGACACAGCACAATCACGAATACGGGGGCTGCTCACCCGAGTCTCTGCACCCCCACAGCTCCCAGCGAGCGAGCGCAAAGCTCCTTTAGACGACTCCAGCTAAGTGGAAAATGTGAACTGAAATGGTGCGATCACTGAGACCCTGGGGGCTTTACCAGTCCTGGGGAGGGTCCCCATGTGCTGTTTTCTGAATATCATGTAAGAGCACCACTAGCACAGGACATCTCGAAAGCCTGGCTCCTGCACAGGAGCGGGTCCCACCCCTGCAGAAAGGCCTCGCCTCAAGCAGCACCCACCCAGAGGGGACACCTCGGCTCTCGGGGAGCAACAGGCAGCCAGCAAAATGCTTTAAAAACGCACTGCAGTGCTCCCAGGTATGTTCAAAAGAAGGTTCCAAGACTTCAGATAAAAATCAAATGGTCACATTTCCTTTAAATGTCAAAGAAGAAAATGTCCTATGCCAGATGACAGAGCTGGTGACAAGCAGAGGAGACAGCAGGCAGAGAAGATGCACTTTACCCACAAATCATCGATGAGCCAACATCTTCACAAACCGGAACAGATTCTAAGGTAAAACCGTAACCAGGCACCTGGTTCTGCATGCAGGGACAGGGCGCTCGGAGCCGAAGCTTTGCTGAGCCCAGGGCAGCCGACAGCAACACATGGCCGAAGTCCCCTCCCCAGGCCAGGCTGTTTGCCAGTGTCTGGAGCAAAGAAAACGCTATGGAGAAATCCTCCCACCCCCCCGCCCCGTCGATGGTCAGAGTCAGGCAATGCACGCCTGAGGCTGAGCAGGAACAAGACAGTCCCGGGGGGCAGCCAGGGCAGGCCCTGAGGAGACAGCTGCACCCAGCCAAGCATCGGATGACAGAGTTCGCTGAAGGAAGGCAGCTGATCCAGGAAACACAGCGCACACCAGCGTACAGATGGGAATGCACTGAGCCTGGCCCCAGGTCACTTCCTGAGGCAGATTTCTGAGCTACAGGCAACATAAGAAAAATGTGCCTAAAAAAAGAAAGTTAGGGGCATTTTCACTGAGTTCCATCCAAGTGCCTGAAATGTTAAATTTACAGCCTAATTAACAGGGGCTCTCCACCAACACTGTTAAATTTCATATTTGAAATGAACATCTCTGATATAGGTGTATGGCCTCTGTCATAAAAAGTCTAAAATGGAAGTAGAGGCCAGGAACAGTCTAAAGGCAGCTGGCTGTAAGTTCACAGAGTGACAGCTGGCAGGGGGGGTGGTTCTCAAGGGGTAAGTGACAGGGCAGAGGCCACCCTGGGAGTCACAAGCTCTGCCTTCTCAACAAGGCACTCTTCTTGGAAGAGATTTACGTGATCCCAGCCTCATGACCTGAATGCCAGGAATCAGTCTGTGAGCTCAGAGTGCAGGGCCCACAGAGCCCCAGGGCCTCTGGGTCTGCAGCCTCTGGGATTTCTGCAAACCCCCTGCACACCTGCTCAGGGGCCGCAGTCACTTGCAGATTCAGAAGGGGCGGTTCCCAGGGCCATGCAGACCTGGGGGGTCCAGGCCACCTGCTGGGGGGTCCGGGCCACCAGCCGAGGCGCCGACGCCCTCCTAAGGAGCTTCCCTGAGGACCACCGTGGCAGGTCCTGGACTTACCTCCCACCGGGAGCCCAGGGCCTGGGGCTACTGCTGGGCTGAGAGCCTGACCCTCAGGGCTTTGTCCGATGAGGCTCAGGGAGGCTGTTTCCACAGTGAGAACTCGGGTTTCTGCCCCACCCCAGCCCTGGCTGTGTGAACCCTCATTCAGCAGGCTCCAATCCGGCCCCATCCGCCCTCAGCGCCTCGCTTTCCTCCCATTCTCCTCGTCCTCCACGGTCGTGACATTTCTTGGGGCAGTTACTCTCTGGAATTGGTGTAACTTGGAGCCAGTGTTCTCTGGGTGATACTGAGGTCATTCACCTCTGCAGAGCTGCAGATGGGTGCTGGCGCTCACACCCTGCTGGGATGCTTCCTTCCACTGACGCCACCCCAATCGCCTGTAGGCGCTGTGAGGTCTCCTGGGTTTAACCCAAGCGACTCTCTTCCCTTCGTAACGAACACGCACTGCGGAGGAGAGGCTGTGGGATGAAGTCCTTTTCCTCCTCAATCTTGCCCGCTAACGTGGCATCTGCCTGGGGTTCTGGCGGCTGCAGACACGGCTGCGGGCTCCTCGGCGGCTTTCTTTTCTCATGCCTTCCACGTTTACCACGTGGAATTCTGTAGGGAAGAACTCCCTGCACTTGCACATTTACTGAATTGTTATCTTTGTGTTATTCAATACTTCAAGGATTCGTGGATTTATTTATTTATTCCAAGGGCCACCACTCTGTACTGCCCACATGTACTCTGTTGCTCAAAGAGTCCTGGCCCCGGCCACAGAGTCTGCCACAGTGTGGACCCAGAGCCCTCCAGTGTGGAACTGGTGTCCTCTGGCTCACCCACCGCAATGTGGACCCAGAGCCCTCCAGCATGGACCTGGCGCCCTCTGGTCTGCCTGTGCAACATGTACTCAGCACCCTCCAGAGTGGACTCAGCACCTTCCAGCGTGGACTCAGCACCCTCCAGCGTGGACTCGGCACCCTCCAGCGTGCACTCGGCACCCTCCAGCATGGACTCAGCCCCTCCAGCGTGGACTCAGCCCCTCCAGCGTGGACTCAGCACCCTCCAGCGTGGACTCGGCACCCTCCAGCGTGGACTCGGCACCCTCCAGCGTGGACTCAGCCCCTCCAGCGTGCACTCAGCACCCTCCAGCGTGCACTCAGCCCCTCCAGCGTGGACTCAGCACCCTCCAGCATGGACTCAGCACCCTCCAGCGTGGACTCAGTCCTTCCAGCGTGCACTCAACACCCTCCAGCATGGACTCACCCCCTCCAGCGTGGACTCAGAACCCTCCAACGTGGACTCAGCCCCTCCAGCATGAACTCAGCACCCTCCAGCGTGGACTCAGTCCCTCCAGTGTGGACTCAGTACCCTCCAGCGTGGACTCAGCACCCTCCAGCGTGGACTCAGCCCCTCCAGCATGGACTAGGCACCCTCCAGCGTGCACTCAGCACCCTCCAGCGTGCACTCAGCCCCTCCAGCGTGGACTCAGCACCCTCCAGCGTGGACTCAGCACCCTCCAGCGTGGACTCAGTCCTTCCAGCGTGCACTCAGCACCCTCCAGCGTGGACTCACCCCCTCCAGCGTGGACTCAGTACCCTCCAGCGTGGACTCAACACCCTCCAGCGTGGACTCAGCCCCTCCAGTGTGGACTCGGCACCCTCCAGCGTGCACTCGGTACCCTCCAGCGTGCACTCAGCCCCTCCAGCGTGGACTCAGCCCCTCCAGCGTGGACTCAGCACCCTCCAGCGTGGACTCAGTCCTTCCAGCGTGCACTCAGCACCCTCAAGCGTGGACTCAGCACCCTCCAGCGTGGACTCAGTCCTTCCAGCGTGCACTCAGCACCCTCCAGCGTGGACTCAGCCCCTCCAGCATGGACTCAGCCCCTCTAGCGTAGACTCAGCCCCTCCAGCGTGGACTCAGCACCCTCCAGCGTGGACTCAGCCTCTCCAGCGTGCACTCAGCACCCTCCAGCGTGGACTCAGCCCCTCCAGCGTAGACTCAGCCCCTCCAGCGTGCACTCAGCACCCTCCAGCATGGACTCAGCCCTTCCGGCGTGCACTCAGCACCCTCCAGCGTGGACTCAGCCCCTCCAGCATGGACTCAGCCCCTCCAGCCTGGACTCAGCACCCTCCAGCGTGGACTCAGCCCCTCCAGCGTGCACTCAGCACCCTCCAGCGTGCACTCAGCACCCTCCAGCGTGCACTCAGCATCCTCCACCGTGGACTCAGCCCCTCCAGCGTGGACTCAGCACTCTCCAGCGTGGACTCAGCACCCTCCAGCGTGGACTCAGCACCCTCTAGCGTGGACTCAGCACCCTCCAGCGTGCACTCGGCACTCTCTGGCCGACCTGCCGCAACGTGGACCCAGCGCCCTCTGGCTGCCTGGTCCTCCCATGGGCACACAAGGCCCCACGAGGTACCTCAGGCTCACCTTGTATTTCCTCCGCCAGGGCCTGGAACCAGCTCCTTCTCCAAGGAGACTGACATTTAAAAAGCAGGACCGGGCCCGAGTGGGCACCTTGCTCC